GCTAGCAACGATCCAGTCAAAGAAAAGGGGGCCTTATCAAAGAGGCCCTTGCCTTCTTTTTTAAGAATATCTTTGTTGCGACCCCTTCTTGTGCCTCTTGCTTCTTGCTGATCCCTCTGAGGTGCGAGGAACTCAGGAGGCCCTGAAAGAGCTGTCCTCTCTGATAAAGTATTCCATCACCTGTAGAAATTGCTGAGAGGCAAAGTTGATCCCCAAGCACATCTTGAAAGAGGTGCCTGTGTTTTTTTTACCACTTGGACACGTATCATGTCAATTTGGGGGGGTACAGGATTTGGGGAGACGCAGGGGAAAAAATGCTAAAAACTTAAACAAGAAGCTACTAGGAGCCAAGGGCATCGCTACTAGGAACAAGGCACTACTAGGGGCTCCTGGCCGCACTAGTAGGAGCAAGTAGCTACTAGTAACAAGAAGCTACCTTGTGTCGACTTGTGTCAACTTCGCCAAAGCCTCGCATCGATGTGTGTCGATGCCAGCGACTTCGCTAGGTTCGCGTTGACTTCGGCCGCTCCTTGCAGAAGAAGCTGAGCGCTGTGGTGAGGAGCCCAAGGGCACTGCAATTGAGCTCACGGTGTCCAGGAACTGAAAATTGCTTTTAGGATGCCTCTAGCTTGGAATGAGTTCGCGGCACTTCGAAGTTATGTCCCGGAAAGGGGACAGATCCTTTAGAGAAAAGTGTGGAAGAGTGGTGTCTTGAAAGAAACGTACAGACATGTCGTCAATTTTTTTTTGTTAGAAAGTTGACTAGAAACACACCCATTTCCACATACACTACCTTTCATCACATCCCAAAGGACTACACACAACATCACCACGTCACTTTGCGCGAAAATACATGTCACCACAGTACACATGTGCATAGTGCTTCACCTCGTTGGAACCAACGCATCCCATCACTACACCAGAAACCATGGCCAACCTAATAGGGATGGCGTCGAACACATCATGTTTGGCCACGACTTTTTCTTATCTCTCTTTGGCCACGACAATGTTCCTCAATGCATACATCCACTGACGACGTTTTGGATATGTTAAAGAAACAAAACTTTATTGGCTGGGATTGTGATCTTACAGATGCTTGTTGAAACACTGGATGGTGTTGGTTGAATCTCTAGACTTCGACAGACCCAAATTCTACGAGATGAAATACCCGAGGTTGAATCGACCGCGCTGGAGGAACCAGGCTCAAAGACGACTGATACCACTACTCAAATAAACTAAGACATGCTAAAACCACGACGTGCACGGAAGGCCTGGCCCTAGTGAAACATCCTGCCAGGTGAAAAATCTGCAGCAGAGACTCTGACAGCACCTAGTGAGGCGCAAGGATTTGGCGTTTTCTGTTCACTGAGAAACACTGATCAGTGAGAAACTGAAGCTAGTTTTCTGCTTGTCACTCAGCAGGTTCCGGATGAGACCCCTGCCAGCTCGGAGCGTGCAGAGTCACCTGAGTCAGAGTCACCTCAGATGTCGATGGGTGTGGGCCCGAGCGACGAAGCAGGGTGGAGGTCAGTGTGGCTATCGAATGACCCGATTTCATTTGTAATAGCTTCTTGCCCCTAGTAGCTTCTTGTTACTAGTAGCTACTTGCTCCTAGTAGTACGGCCAGGAGCCCCTATTAGCGTCCTTGCTCCTAGTAGCGATGCCAGGAGCCCCTAGTAGCTTCTTGTTCCTAGTAGCGATGCCAGGAGCCCCTAGTAGCGTCCTTGCTCCTAGTAGCGATGCCCTTTGCTCCTAGTAGCTTCTTGTTCCTAGTTCTTTGCAGCTGGGAAGTGCTTTTCGGAGCTGAGGAGCAAGCCGAAGCATCAAGTCCACCGGTCGCCTTCAGGCATATTTCGTTCATGAGAATGATTCAGAACAGCACATAAATTGTGAATGACCGCGCTATCCACACACATGATGAGTGACAATGAATCACTGAGTTTCTTGCCAAATTACAATGGAAACTCTTCTCTATGCTCCCTGCATGACATTTTGACGTCTGCACCAGAAGTGGCAAACATTTACTTCTTCCAGTGACCACAGACCATGCATGGGGTCTTGCGGAGGCTGGAGATCCTTCATTCCGGCCCCTTTGCTGCATTGGCGATGCACTTGTGGTTGCTGGTTCTGGTCCGTCATGGGGGAGCTGGCACTTGCAATACTCGTCCTTGTGGAACCAATCACGAACAGTGCGAGAGCTATCCGTCCTGTTCCTAGGAGCTTCCTAGAATTCTAATTAAATTCTTATTGTTACTATATAGTAGTAAGGCACTTGTTTCTAGTAGCGATGCACTTGTTTCTACTAGCTTCTTGTTACTAGCAGTAAGGCACTTGTCTATAGTAGCGATGCACTTGTTTCTACTAGCTTCTTGTTACTAGCAGTAA